TACAATATTGAATGGTTTTCTATTAAACTACAATTTCAAATAGCAATAACAATAAAAATACATAATTATCATCCATTTGTTGTACGTATTAAGTTTCCTTCACTTTCAGCATTTTCAATAAGATATTATTTTATTTTAATAATAAAAATTATACACATTATTAACTTTTCTAATATTTCTGAAAATCATAAAAACACATTAGTAACATGAAAACCTCAAAGAATTCAGTTTTCAACTTATTCATCTAAAAGCATTCTTTGATAACTACGAATTAGTTAAAACTAAACTTTCGCATTGCGAGGCAAAAACTATTAAAGAAAAAAAAACAAATATGGTGGGAGAACATGGCGGCTAATTACAATTAGTCGCCGCGTAAGATGTTATAATTGAAAACGTTTCTCATTCACTCAATTATATTAAATTGAGTGAATGGTGGCTGTTTCCCGCTTCGAAACAATAACTGCAATCAGACAGCAACATCTCGTGAACAATGACAATGCGCGTCTCACGTGGTGACCATGAATCCTAAAGAATCTTTCGCAGTTGCTGAAAGTGTTTTCCGTTTTCTATTATCCATATACGCATGACATAAGCAAACCTGACGAAGTCGATAAAAGTTATTCTAAAAATTCCTATACTATGACTTACATAACTCTCTTTTTGCAATAATTTACTTAGATTAACTATTATCAAAATTTCTAATTCGGTATCAACTCAAAACAAATTCATGAAGGCCAAACTTTAATTAACTTACAACTAGAAATTATGTTTGATCTACTATGCTTTAAATTAATGGTTTTCTAATATATGGAATATTTATAGCAAAATAAATAATAAATAATTTATTTTGCTCAATGATTTTTTAATATCGAGGATAATATTCTCAACATCAATTAACTTTTTCATCAATCAAATTGACGACAAACTAGTCTTCACGTATTTTATGTATTTCTTAGTGCAAAAACCTCCAACTACTACCTCGTTTTGCGGAAATCAACCGTGTATGAATCTTACCTAATATAGTTAATATTGACTATTGTTTCTTATTACTACTGTGTTACATTTTATTCAAAGAGAAATTCGAATAAAATATTTACTTTATCCGTATATGTCGTGTAACAGCGAGGTAAACCAACACTTTTAGCCGACTTCCCACGGGGCTGTTATACTGTTAGGCTAACTGCGCGTAAGCGGTGCACTCATAACACTTAAAAATTAAAAGTTATTGTTGTACGAAATGTATGAGAATGTTTAATTATACAAGTGGGCTAAACGGAACTAGCCTGGCCGCTCTCGAAGAAAACGACCAATACATAAAGCGGCACCAAAACAACGCGTCTAATACGATTATACTTTTACGCTTTAATAATTCCAAATCTGATTATGGGATATAGTTTAATGATATATTCGAACGAAATCGGAGTAGAAGAATCGTCGGGTATTAGCAGTTACTTCGAACGGATTAAGAATCTAAACTCCCTTCCTCTATAGGTTTTCATTACTGAGACGCAAGTTATTTGTTTGAATTTGGAACATATGTCACAAAAAATGACATAGTTATGGACTTTTATATCTGGTTGCAATGGAATAAGTTAAAAAGACATACATACCCAGTTCCCTTGGATATGAGAGAACAGGCGGTTCACCTGACGGTACCTAAGTGATTACCAACTCCCGAACAAAGAGGATACACAGTTACCTCACTCATAAAACGCGCTGCATTTGTTTTACTCCGATCTTCGGTGAGGCTGTCATAGTCTCCCGGAAGAGTCAGTCTATTTCAGCCACACCAGAAACTATAGCACTACTCTCCAGCGTTTTGTTGTTTTACAAAGTTAAATGTTTAACAAAAAGAAAAGCATTATATGTGCTCTCCTTTTATTTCAATATACGTACGTACCCCAATGCGATCAGTCTCGCACCGATAGAACTCGCTAATTATTCGCTTATTGTAATTATAAATGTTGCCATATTTCAATGAAATATAAACATCGTAATAAATACTACATATCTAGAGAGTATAAAAATGTTCTGAAGATATAATATCGACATAATATTGATAAAATCAGCGAACAGAAAGAATACATCAACAGACAAGGCGATAAAGAAGAAAACTTTTAAAGTAATTTTTTCTATTGATCGCCGAAATAACATGCATACATCCAAATATGTTATCATTTTATTATTACATATAGCATTAAGATCTATAAACAATGTATAAATCCTAATGTACATCTGTAAATCGATAACTAAGAGAGCTCGGAAAAAATGTCACATGTAGATCCAACCGCCGCGTATTTTACTGCGAGCAAAAGCTTGGCCACGTATTTACTTTGAGTCGTCCACAAACAAACATTTGTTCTGCATTATTTAACACGTTGGGAACCGATCGAGGAATTAGTTTCGGGAGAGTTTCCCGTGGACACGCCCCCCGCCGCCATGTGCGGATGCGCGTCGCTCATTAATGAGTTGGGCCGCGGCAAAAAAACGCTTTCGTCTTCACAATACGGCGCATGACTGGCCGCTCCGCTATCAATTATTAATAAAAAGCGGGCCGCTTCATTGAAAGGGCGATTAGCTCAATATTTATATGGAATATTCGGTATCAACGGCGCTTTGTGCCCATAATTCGGTGGGTCGTGACGCGGCGCGTTTGACTCAACGCCGCCCAACGCATAGACCAACTGCTCCACGTCGAATAGATGCGTAATTGATATTGTTTTCTTACCTCACCTTTCACTTATGTGTCCAATTTATGTTTGGAACAGAGTCTTTAATGTATAATGCTAAATAATCTTAATATTACTATATAATATACTCAGTACGTTTCAATAAAATCAATGAATCTAATAACGCTTATCTAACAAAAGCTCAAAACAGGTTACGTATTGCTCAATACAATTATTTTGTTATGCATTTTCATCTTCCCATGCAATAAAACCTAAATACACCAAACTATCAACACTGCAGATGTTACACTCTGAGAGCAAAGTAAATTTTAGGCAACACTCGAATATAAGTCAAAAGCCCCTCTACCGCGATTAAAGCGTGGGCCACCAAGCTCGCGGCCTCTCATTGTACTACCGAATCGACTCGCGGCTCTGAATAGAATTCTCCGCTGTGAAAGCAGCAGCTCTTATGCCCCGACTTAAATTCATTTAACCTTACACTCGCTTGTACATCAATCAAAGAAGATACGCATCGAATCGTTCACCTGCGAATCAAACATATCAAAAACCGCAATTAAAATGATATGAGCTTTAACTTGGATTTCGGGACTTGGTTTTTAAAAATAAATTTTAAACAACACGTTTGTGAGCTTTTGTACTGTTGAGTTATATAAGGACATAATGGTAAGCTAGATAGGTATGTATGTATCGATAATTTATATTTTATAAATTATCGATAATTACGATGTAACAATTATATTTTAATATATATTTTTTTTTATTATAATTAATTCAAAATGTTTTGTTACATATTTACATAATCATATGCGATAATTATTTAATACACACAATTGTAATCAACTACTCTTTAATTGTCGGGCAAAATATTATCCTTTTCTAGTAGTTATAATGAATAGATAAGCTCACATTACTTAATTCATAAACGAGAATAATGAAATACAAGCCGCAACGAGATATTTGTCAGAACAATTTTTCAGTAGAACTGATGCTAATGAAAAGGCCTTTTCACGAGCTTTGGCGCCGACCAACATGCAAATGCGACGGGTAATGACGCGTGAAGCCACGACAGAACCACAGATAATGTATTATAAGCAAAACAAATGATACATTATGTTGAATACTTTTTAAATACTTACTATAAATTTTAAGTACGCTGAATAACTTCATATGTATAATGGCTCACTGCTTCGACACCAAATTCACATTTTGGATATGAAATTTATTGAAAAGTGTTAAATTTACAAGTTAAATATTTTACTAATGATATTTCGTTTAGGTGAATACGTCACTTTATAGGAAAACTAAGACAAAACCTTAATAAATAAAAAGCATTAAGTGGGCGGCGGGAAGAAGAAACTTTCCATAGTCGATTGTTTGCGACAAGGTTTATTGTGTCATATTATCACTAATGAAATACTTGCGGGCGCTAAATTTATTCGAGTCACGTTCGCGCCATCCAAAACTGTCACCGCGGCGAAAAGCTCTTCATCCTCGAAAAGGCCGGAGATTAGCATGAAAGTGCGCCAAGGCGAACTTTTAATTTGTCATTATGCAGCAATAAAAACATAGTAAATGAGTCCGACAAAAAACTCGTTCAACGTTCGACGGGGAAAAAACCGCGAACCGGGGGCGAAATTCGCAAATCATCCTGGCATAATAACGGCCGCTTGAAAAAAAATTTAAATATCAAAGGCCGGACGGGGCACGGTAATGGTTTAAAATCATTTTTCATCCGAATCACTCGTAAGCCAGGACGGATACGGTAGCGGGCCTCTGTTGGTCGGATACATTATCTTGAGTCGAGTTGGATTAGACCTACGATCAAGTTCCATACTTCATTACCCGCCGCCTCGAGTTGATATTTCAGAATCGTTTTTTAAACGAATGCGATACTAAATACGACTAACGATGCTTTGAGTTGTTTTCTTTTTTTATGTTTATTATCTTAACGTCAACAGTTAACTTCATACAGAACATTAAGGTTTACAAGTAATTTTCCAATCTACAGTGCAATTTGTGTGACCCACAGATACTTGTTTCGCACCTGGGTGCTTATCTGCGTGAAGTTTGTTTGTAAAACGTCATTACAAAACAGGATAATATTATCCTAGAGTAATGGCCATATTTTAAAAAAAATTGAAAATTGGATAATATTGTTAACGTATGATAGAGAACTTGTTGTAATTATATAAAACAAAAATACTAATAGCTCAAAAACTTCTGTTCGAAAAGTTTTGAATTAAAAAGCAAAAATAAAAGAAACATGTATATTAGAACATTTATTTACACCGTATATTAAACATAATATCATGTCCACCGTTTATTTTTGTTCTTTTTCTTTTGGTTGTAGTTGTCGAGAGGGGGCAGGCCGCTGTCAAATTCGCTCGCTGTGTGCATGGAGCTCTGTTTGTTCATTACTCTGTTGCCAAAGAGCCCTGGTTTCACCTTCGGGAACCTGTAGAGAATTCGCGAAAATCAGTACTAGCGAAAAACATCCTCATCAACACTATTATAAAACTCCTTCCTAGATAACCTAACAGTACACAGCCAGTCTTCTTATGTAGGGTTTATCAAAGTTGAGAAAACTTAGCCTTTCCCCGAACTCTGTACACGTTTTAGCTTTATATAGTCAACGGAATAAGAAAAAAAGGATAAAATCTCGCGTCGGTCCATTCCTCCGATTATAATGCGAATTTCTTCAAAGAAAGAGTGAATGAAGTTTGACTGAGCTAGAGCGCCTACCAAAAACGGCTATATTAGACAGTGTGACAGTTAAGTTAGTGATAAGAGTAAAATATATATAGACAAAACTAAAGAATAGAGATTAATGTTAAAAGACATCTGAATGATTTCAGTGATCTGCAATTGCTGCAGGTACAACTTTGTGTAAACAATTATGACTCTCAAGGTACAGAAGAGTTATTAATGCCAGTACAAGTAAATATTCAAGTTATTAAGGTAAGTTTAAAGAGTAACATACGCAACGATAAAACATAATAACACTAACAAGAAGAAAACAAATAACAAGAAGTATTTTTATAAATCTTTGAAAAGACACACCCTTCGTCATGAGTGTGTTGTTGTTACGTTCAACGAAGCTCATATCGAACCGTTCCATATTGGCTTAATCATCGAACTATTCACTCGGCACGGGTCACTTTACTGTGGCAGCGCAACAGTCCTCGCTGTTGCACGAATGGGCAGGTCCGTCCGGGTAAGTACTAAGAACTCACAGAAGACCGGCGTGAAGTTGAAGTGTCATACTTCTGCGTTTCGTCTGGTGAGTGAGGTATACGTGGCCCGCTTTATTAAAAGATAGCAACCCTACGGGTGTTGTTGTTGGTGGGAAATGTCAATCGACGATGACTATCAGTTAGCATTAGGCGAACCTCCAGCTAGTGGCAAACTAGCTGGAGGTTCGCCTGATGTTAACTGATAGCCACGGCCTTCTGTCCTTACTAACATTATAAAGGTGAAAGTTTGTATGTATGGATGGATGTTTGTTACTCTTTCACGGAAATACTACTCAATGGATTTTAATGAAACTCCACAATAATATAGCTTATACATCAGAAGGACAAAATTTATATACATATCTTTTATGTATATAAATCTGTCTACGCAGACGTATGCTCGTTTTAAAGGAACGCTAGTAACTCACTTCCCGTAGGTAATGCAACGGCTCGTAAGTAAAAAGCCTAGCTTTGTTAATATAAGAACCGGGCGTACACGCCTCTTATCTACAAGTCGTTATGAAAGTTACGAAGCTATGTAACGAATGTAGGAACTGGGCGGTAGTCGCGGGCGGCGGCTAGTTATCACACAATGCAAAACTCACCCGGGGCGCTTCCTCTGCTCCTCCTCGTGCACCGTCAGCCGGTTGTTGGGCCGCTCCTTCTTGGTGTCCGGATCGCACTTGGCCCGCCTAGCTAGCGCCGCCGGGGTCTCCCTGAGCGCGAACGCCTTGGCCGCATGTCCGAGATGCAGTTGCCTCGCGTCCAGCCACACGCGCACCTCGCGCGGGTAGCCCGAGTAGAAGCGGACCCAGGACGTGTAAGCTAACGGGGGCAAAAGGTCAATTCCGAGCCGGCAGTAGTATTTTGACAATCGATAAGTACGTGTAATGCTTATGTATTGAGTTACAATTTGTCCTGATATATCAATATCGTGTCTCCCCCTTCTTATAAGTCAACTTTTGTATGGGAAAGCACCTGAACGCACAACGCACGGACACGCAACGCACGTGCGACGCACGAAAAGTAAGATTTTTGTTAACAAAAAAAACTGACTTTTAATACTCATTTTAATAGTTAATACTTTCCTTTTTGATTTTACGGAGGATATCTAAATAAATTTTTTTTTGTTAACAAAAGCCCTCTAGGATTAATACCTCTGCTGGCTCGTTGGAGCCAGTCGCGATGACTATGGGCGGTGTGCTCTAGCCTCGCCTGCAACGCTATGGCGGCCCTGGCGGGGTTGGGGGCGGCGGGAGACAGAGTACGCAGAGCTTCCAGTGACTGCGACTCGTCCGCCTGTCTAAGTCTACGAGAAGGAGAGATTCGGTTAGTGCAATGTCGTGGCACAGTTAAAAGTTGTGTAACAGAATGAAATAAATATGGTTTATTATTAGTCTCTTACTGACAGGACATCGGCAGTGTAATGAAAAATTAACGTTTGGAATCTAAGGACGAGCGCGATTTGTTGATTTAGTTTATACCAACCATTTAAAAATTGGGGTCCGGCCACTTCACTCACCAGACGAAACGCGAAAGTATTATACTTCCACTTTACGCCGGGCTTCCGAGGTCATGGTACGTACCCGGACGAGCCTTCCCATTCGTGCAACAACCGAGGCTGCTGCGTGGCCCTACCACCGTTTAGTTGTAGTATAAGGGCTATAAGTTAATTCGAAGTCGTCCCTATACATGATATTTCTTTATTTATCCAGCCCGCACTCCTATACTATTAAAAGATCAAACGCAAAACAGCGAAAGTTTCTGATAAAAAATACCTCACCTAAATAGGACTCTAATTGCAAATCATGCCGAGCATTGATTGGTTGACATGAAAATCAAAAATTTAATATATAAAAAATCAAGTTATTACTTTAAACTTGACCACACGTTTGATTGCTACCAGGGCTTGATCGCTACGTTTGGTCGCAATTTCGCGTTTGTACACGCCGCGTAACAAAAATCAGTGTGGTGTATAAAATCCAGCCAATTCGAAATTACGAGCTCCGCGCTCAGCACGACAAATAACGCATTAAACGGCGAGATTAAAATGCGAGCTGCCAGATTCGCGGCCTGCACGCGATATACTCGTGTGCCTTTTCGTTCTTGAATCATTACGTCAAAGACGTAAGAGAATGTATTGTTTGACCTCCGATCTTTACCTGATACGCTTCTGTTCCAAGTGCCTGACGAACTCGGCCTCGCTGGGAAGTAGCATTAGGACCGCTGCTCCCACTTGCGCCGCTCGTCCGGTCCGCCCCACCCTTTGGTTAACACAGAATTGCAAACGGGACTTCGGATAAAATTTAGACGTTTTATGTTTTATGAGAGAACCTGGCATCCGAGGCGTTGTAACAAACCTTTAAGAGCGAGCCGTCCCACCCTACAACAAAACGCGAAAATATGACACTTTCAATTTACGTTAGTTCCCCGGGCGAGCCATTTGTGATAAAGCAGAAGCTGCTGTGTGACTCTACCAAAATAAAAAGTTGAAGTCCTGTGTCTAAGCAATGGAAACAAATGACAATAACTTGTAAAAACATACACTAAGGTCGTTCGTAACTATAGTGAAGTGAATACAGTGCGGAAATATCAATAAAGTCCTTCGCCATAGACTATATATTTTATGTGAGAAGGTGGCAATCGACCTGGCGGTTCACCTGATGTGAACTGACAACCGCCGCCCATTTACATTAGCAACACCCCAAGTTTGCAGATGCATTGCCACCATTTAATAATGGGCCCCGCCTACCTCACTCACCAGACGAAATGCCGAAATACAACACTTCCATTTCAGGCCGATCTTCTGTGAGTTCGTGGTGCAAACCCTGCGGACCCAAACCCCAAACGGACCTGCCCATTCGTGAAACAGCGAAGTTTGTTGCGTGGCCCTAGCACTTCTTTATAAGTTTTCCCATGATCTTATATCCGGGACTACAATACAATGTTTCGAGTCACTTTAAAACTTGCGCGTCTCGCAATCTTGTCCGTTACAAAGTAAATACGTGATATCATCAACCAACTCGCAGTACTAGAACTAAAAGCTTTTCAAGGAATATCATAAAATGTAACCGCAATAGACTGTATTCATTTAATTCACAATATTCGCACAATATATTTGAAATAATAAAAAAAATAAGGCGGATATCAAGCAAGTGATCTTCTTTATAAGACATCGAGGCAAACGCTTGCTACGTGCCCACAGGCTTGATACAGCAGTTCACACGCCTCGCAGTATAATCCCGGTTCTGCCTTGAAGCTATTTGCACCGTCCCATATTAAACTCTTCACATAGTCTGTGGCTCCCGCTACATTGTACTGTGGATGTCTTACACAATGCGCAATTTATTGATTTTTCCCATCCTACCATAGCGGGCCATTATCACAATAGTTAAGATCATTTTAGCACACGATCATAAAAACATAAAGTAATAGAACTAGGATGATCGCGTCGATATAGCTATTTCCGGGGCCACAATAATTATGTTATTTGAAATACAAGTGGTTAATACATGGAATATTTCCTCGTACCGGAATGACGTTAATACTTACATAGACATAAACAACAATCAAAAAGTTTACGTCGAATTAGCTGTTACAAATCTGGTGCGTTAACCATCTACATAGATGGCGGTGCAGTCTTGGTCAGTTTATAAGATAAAGGAGTAATGTCTATAATCTATTATACATACTTTTTTAAAGTTAATTAAGGAACGAGCAATGTTTAAGATCTATCATACATTTTTATTGTATCCTGCTAACCCATGTATGCATTTTCATCGATTTTACAAACAGTAAAGGTTAATCAAAGATCTGGAAGTAGTTGTAACTTGAATTTATTAGATTTTCTAACATTGACAAAATCATACGGATCATGATAAATACGTAATAAAACAAAAAAGGTTGAACATGGCTTGTTAAGAAAAGTTATTATAGTAGTCGACTATTATTATATTTTTAAAACAGCCTATGATGGTTTAACAATATTAGATTACGATTGCGATGTGGGAATTACCTGTGCACATAGTCGGTGGCTGATGCCGGAGCGCAATATTGTAAAACCAAGTCCACCCGTGGAACATCCAACCCTCTAGCAGCTACATCCTAAGATAGATAACCAAAAGTGTGACCAATCATAATATTCATGATTATAATAAACATAGATCATATTCATGATTCTTAAGTTATGTTACGTTGGCAACAAGAAACCATGTAATAGCGCCTCATTACGAGTGTAATTTGCTCTGTGATGAAAAAAATAACGTCATATATTTTACGTAACGTTGCCGCCGAACGGAATCGAACAGTAATTCTATGTTGCCGCTAGAGAACGTTTAAAATCTCGATTACACCAGTCGCAAAAGTGCATAATTATATTGAACAGAGGCATTATATCGCGTATTCAGGCAGCGGCGCCCCGCGGCGAGCCGGATTGGAGGCGACGTCCACACGTTTGTGCTTTGAATGCCCCTCGTAATAAATGTCGCGACAATGTCAACACGAATTACCTTCATTAATGGCTGGGCGAATTCTGGCGGAGCGTTTAAAAACGAAGCCACACGCCATATATCTGTACAATTGATTAATTTGGCCGAGTGAAGATGGCCAGTTAGACAACGAGAGCGAGATGTTATGTCCAAAGTGGACATAAAAAAACGTTTAGGGTGTGATATCTAACGATGATAGCACATTGACCAGACGCTCGCTATTAATTCAATATACTCGAGCAACCCGAGTTCGACCCCTCTGGCGGTACCAATGAAGTTGTTAATTTTAAGAGACTTATCACATGTTCAGTGGTGAACGAAAACATCGTAAGGAAACATCCATATTTTCGAAATAATAACAAAAAAAATATTTTGAGGATATGTGAAATCTGCCAATCCGGAGTGGGGTCGCGTGGTGGACTATAAACTGATACCTTCCGTACTGAGGAGGCCTGTGCCCAGTGAGAAACATACAGGCCAGTGATTCTCAACCACTGTGCCGCGGCACTTTTGTGTGCCGCCACATTTCAAAAGTGTGCCGCCAAATTTTGCAAATATATAATAATGTTAATATTATTAAATTATATCATTTAAAAAGAAAAACATTTTTTGGCATTAGCCAACATTAAAACTAAAAAAAGATCAAGATTGTTAAATGTAGAAGACGATATGAGAGTAGCATTGTCATTTTTACGACCAAATATAAATGAAATTATTTGGTCGTAAAAAGTTTGGTGAGTTTAATATGTGCCGCAACAAAAAAAAGGTTGAGAATCACTGATATAGGCATTTACTTTATTTTAATTAAAGCGAAAACCACGACGGCTGGTAGGTGTTTTTATTTATTTATTTTTTTTATTAATTTATACTTTATTGCAATTACCTTAATCAAGGATTACAAAGGGCAAACTTAATGTTCCAGCTTACAATTACGAGTATATGTAGGTGCAGGTCGAAAATTTTCTTTGGAACATATTCAATACTAAAGTTGAAATTAAAAGAGGTAAATGTACCTAATGACCAGCGATCGATTAAAAGATAACTAAATGAAGGTAACCTCAAAATGACCTGGCATTAAATTAATATAGACGTAATCAACATCCAAATAACTGCCCCAAGTCGTCATTTATATTTCGTATTACAAGTGTTGGCTCCCTGACGCGGCACACCTGCGCCGAGCTTCGGTGAACTTTTGTTTCCATCTCCCGCAATGCAAGTGAATAAAAAGGCAACATGTATTACTGCACCTTTAACACGGCCTTAAATTGGCAAAACGACGATATCTGCCTTCTGTGTGTGATTATTTAATTTTTCGTGGAATGATAATTCTCAATTCCTTGATTTTGATAATAAATAATCAAAATAAAAGAATTCGACTGCAACGACAATTGAGACGAATCTAATGGATCTCGCATGATAAATTCCGTCAAACCGTATAGAAGAAAGAAGATATAAGACATTTCACTCAAAAGCATATTTCTAAAAAAGAAGCTCACTCGGTTATCGGGTAATAAGAAAAAGATATATGTGAACTTGAAGTAATGGGCAGAACTCAAGAGATTGTTGTATTGGTTGTATTGCACCCTTTGAGACAATAAACCTTACAAATTGATAAAAATTAATTTAAAATGTACAGAAATGATGCAATGAATGTTAACTAGAAAAATGTTTGGTATGTACTCTTATCACTTAGCTGCCAGAACGCCCTGCTAGCAACATTTATACGTTAAAATTTGTAGAAAAATTACGAAAAGATTGTCGCCACTGTGGTAATCGAACCCACGTCTTCGGCATTCGCGGCCTGATACTTTAGCCACTAAGCTTTAACCATGATTACCACACCGACGAAAATCTTAACGTATTTTATCCACATTGGTTTTTATAGCATTTGAAGCAATGCTTGGCGCATCCATTGTTATATATCCTTTCCAGCATACAAACAATTTCGAATATCTTTTTACAACGATAATTCGAACGAGATGTCGCCATTGCTTATTTGAAATTTAAACTTTTAATAGTGCTAATCTCTGCACTTAAGATTTAACATTAAAATTTGTAAAAAAGTACGAAAAGATTGTCGCCACTGTGGGAATCGAACCCACGTCTTCGGCATTCGCGGCCTGATCCTTTAGCCATAAGCTTTTGATTACCACACCGACAAAATTTAACGTATTTTATCCACATTGGTTTTATAGCATTTGAAGCAATGCTTGGCGCATCCATTGTTATATATCCTTTCCAGCATACAAACAATTTCGAATATCTTTTTACAACGATAATTCGAACGAGAGATGTCGCCATTGCTTATTTGAAATTTAAACTTTTAATAGTGCTAATCTCTGCACTTAAGATTTAACATTAAAATTTGTAGAAAAAGTACGAAAAGATTGTCGCCGCTGTGGGAATCGAACCCACGTCTTCGGCATTCGCGGCCTGACGCTTTAGCCACTAAGCTAAACGGCTGATTGCCACACCGACAAAATCTTAACGTCTTTTAACAAAACTCACTGCACACTAGAGTTTGAGAGATCGTAGTGGTGAGGGATTGCGAACCGAACTATTTTCAACGTGGCTGAACAAAATAAAGGTAGCATATAATGCCATATAAAATAGATTAATTAAACACTTGGCGATCAGACTGCTGTAGAGGCTCGTTTTGGTTTCATATCATTTTTGCTTTCACCATTTAACGCGCAGAAATAATTCCAGTCTATGAACGTTCGGCTGGAACAGTAGCACACCATTTAAATTAATCGCCCGGAAGCCAATAATCACCGCAGTGCATTGCAAAAGCGACGCGCTCGACCATTAAACGACTATTAAACTTTGCTTACATAATTCCCGCGTAATAATCATGGACCTATTACGCAGTTCACATTTGTCAATAATAAGCAAATGATAGCTTCAAGCCTATTGTTGTTTCAGTGCCCACCACGAAGTGTTCGCACCGCTCAATATTTAAATTATTTTTAATCCATAGTAATATTATAAATTCGAAAGTAACTCTGTCTGTCTGTCTCGCTTTCACTCCAAAACTACTGAACCGATTTAAATGAAATTTGGTACACAGATAGCCTAGAGTCTGAGAAAGGACATAGGCTATTTTTTAATTGGGAAATAGTGTTGTATAGGGTTGAGAGATATTTATTTAAGGGCTTCAACGCGAGCGAAGCCGCGGGCGAAAAGCTAGTAGCAGATAGACCATAATGGAATGGTACCACTAGTGAATGTATCCTCAGTAAATGTTTGAAAAAGTTTTAATGATTTATGTTATTGAATAATAGAAAAAAAAAACAATTGATCTCAGATTACCATTTTGTAACAATGAGTAACATTTCTTCAACTTAATTTTAATGAATTTAGCTCAACTTACCGTGCAAATAAGTAAACCTCTTCTGGCAGCTCTAAATTGTTTAAAAACCTCCATTCTGTGCTCATGGGCCATGGAACCATGGAGGCTGAAGACATCCAAGTCAACTGGCGCCAAGCTGCCTTCTTCGGGCATACCATAATCCATTTCTAGTTCCGATTCAGAACTTTCTGACGACCCTGATTCACCCTATAAAAATTAAAAATATTTTACAATTAAATAAGGAAATCCCACAAAAAGCTATTAATCTTTTTTATTCATAACTTTATAACAAAAATATTTTTATGTCAGGACATACAATAGAAATAAACAAAATGATCTTACCCCTTCGTCTTTTTGATTGTTATCTAGTTTTCGTTTCTTTGATTTAGACATTTTGTTTTTCACATTTTTTTTCTTCACTTTGTCTTCTTTACCCGTCAATACCGTTTCTAACAACTCGGAATGGTAGTCAACCATTTCCGTGGTAGCCATAAAAACTATCATTTTACCACCTTTCTTGTTCAGAACACAATGCTCGACGATAAGAGAACAAAGTGTCACTAGTCTCAATTTCATTGGGACAACCATAAACTTCTGATTAACCGTTGCTGGTAGAACTAGCTCATCTTCCACCACAGCTGATTTCAATGCTTTGAGAAAGACATTTTCCGCTTCAGCGGGTTGTACTTCTTTCATGGTTTCCACAACTTTAGGTTTTTTCGATTCTAATTCTTTTTGCACCTTGAAATATTCGTAATCGGAGTCACTGTCACTGTCAGCTTCTTTTTTAACAAAAGGCTTGTTTGAAGTTTTTTTTGTTGATTGTTTTTTCCCACTATCATCTTCGATTTGACTTAAATTACTCACGCCCGAAAAGGCTTTCATGCCTGAAAATGCATATGTTAATAAAACTTTCATTAACACTAACATAGTAAATAAAATCCTATAAAATTACCTCTTCTTGTTTCAACGTCATTAACAGCAGTATTTTTATTTGTCGCTTGTTTCTCTGCCATTATTTCAGTATTATTAGTACGCACAGTTTCTGGAAGGCTTTTCTCTATCGACTTATTAATGGTAGCTTCCTTGTTATTTACGTTATCTTGATGCTTTAATGAGTCTGCTACAAGAACTTTGCCTTCGGATGTGTCAATAAAAACAGGATTCTGCATGGTAATTCCTGCTAAATTTTCTACTGCCTAAAATAAAATAGAATATCATTTATGTATTAATGAATTTCAAATAAGAAATCACCTTGACCTTTATAAATTACCTTTGTAAGTGTTGCTGATAGCAAAATAGTTTGTCTATCTTTTGAGAGAAACACTTCAGTCAAGTAATGTCTCACTTTGTGTTCCTCTGCATTTTCTTCTACAATATTGGTTACTTCATTATTTGAGACATTACTTTTGACAGACTGTTTCATAAGTGCTATTGGGTCATATGTTGCAGCTTTTTTGTGGTCATCTATAGCTTTTACTATGGCCGCTACATCTTTTTCATAGCCCATATCCAATAAGCGATCTGCCTCATCCAAAACTAAGCAGCTAAAAGTCATTCAAAATATGTATGACTTAATACATAAAATTAACAAAGTTTAATATACATATAAATATAAATACATATAAATATCATTGTTTAGAGATTTACGGGTATGACTTCGAGATTACAAATGAGACTAAGCAATAAAACTTTGATGCTGTCATGTTTAATATTGACTTTGCAAAAGTCCTCTAAGCCCTTGTAAACTTACATAGTTCTACTCATGCCCATACTAAAACACTTATTCAAAATAAAACCCAAATTATATTAATCATTAAATAAAATGTGCTCCATTGCAGAGCCTTTATCAAGAACAAATCAGTTTACTCCGCCAATTTCTTCCATGCTATTTCATAATTATACAATTATATGACCAGTCTCTATATTTGAAAAAGCCAAAAATTAAATGATTGGATTCAAAATCCTCTATATTATTTTGCAAACTTTAATTATTCTAATGTTTTGCACATACATCTGGTACTATAAGATGTTCTTTCTCTAGATAAAAAAAATATGTTTCTTTGGGCCTGCACCACAGCATGTCATAATTTCTAACACAACAGAATAAATAACTAAAAAGAACATTGGACTTACCCAGTTTTAGCAAAATTTAAAGAGTGAGTGTGTCTTAGATGGTCATTAATCCTGCCTGGAGTTCCTACCAATATGCTCAGTCCTTTTCGCAATCTGGCTTTTTCTGCTTTCCTTTTTTGGCCACCACTTAAAAGTCCAGGTACAATCCAGATAAAAGGCTTAATGGGAATAAAAATATAATTATCCTAATCAAACTTCAAATATACACATTGAAGAGTAATTAATTATCAAATAGAAAAGGTCTTATTATACCCACAAAAGTGCAAAATAAACTTGTGCTAATCAATGAATCATTGGTGTTTCCATGATAATACTGTGAAACATTTTTTAGCTTCCAAATTTTGTTGTGATTACAGTAAATAAATATTACCTTAACTAGCTTCACAAATAATTCGTATGTCTGAACAGCCAGTTCTCTTGTTGGTACAACAACAATGACTCTGATACCATCATGTCTATTTATTTTAGGTCTGATGGCCTGCAACCCTTCTATGATGGGAAGAGCATATGCCAAAGTTTTACCCGATCCTGTTTGTGACCTATAAGCAGAAGTTAGCAATGATGTATGTGTCGAAAGGGTATGTTTGAAAAGTGAAACCATTTAAGTATTAATCATGATTGAAATTTTGTTATTTGAATAAGAGCATTGGAAATGAAATTTAAAATTATTAAATTGTTCCTTAAACTATAAAAATGGATTTTACAGAACGTAAGTCCCAGTACCTTACCTAATTAATACATCTCTTCCCTGCAATATTACTGGAATGGCATTTTGCTGTACAGTCATAAGTTGATTTAAGCTTAAGTTTTGAGATAAGTTTGCTATACTGTGTGGATGTAAATCTAAATCTGCGAATGTCTGACCAGTAAACACTTTTTCCACAATTGGCTTAACAGCTTTCTGCCCAATACGTGGAACATCAGGATTGTTCTTGAATAATGATGAAATCCATCCTCCACTTCTAGGTTTTTGCTTCACTTGCAGATCATCACTTAGCTGTTGGTAGTTTTTTTCTTTAAACTTTCCTTTGTTTTCACTAAGATCTCTAAGACTAGACTCCAAATTCACAGATTTCGGAGCAGAAGTTTCGGATATTGATTTGGCCACTTTCTGTTTTGGCTCATCAAAGTTTTGTTTGGAAAAAGAATTTCGAACATTCTGTGGCCTTTTCCTTGCTATTATTTTACCACCAACAATGGGTTTTGCCAAAAATTTATACTCCGAAGCATTTCTTTGAGGACCAGCTGTTTTTTTGGGTCTGTTATTCTGCGAATTTTTTATAATAAATTAGATAAATACCAGAAATTTATTGTATGTACACAAAAGTTTTATTTACGCACAGTTTTACCCGTTGAAATATTCAACTGTAAATCTTCCATTGCTAATATTATTTTTGATATTTTAATTTGTATACTATTACTATTTTTCTCTGTTTTAGGTTATAAACACGCCCTGACGCCTGACGTACGTCGTGTTTTGACGTTTGTAATTTTTTCTTAAAACAGCTGCGAGATTTTCACCATTTTCCTATGTTCCTCCAATGCCAACATTTTCGTAATAATATTATCTAAATAAATTAAACATTGTTCAAAATTGGTAAATATATGTGTTAATTTTATTTTAAATAGTAATGTCAACATTTTATTTTTCGTTTATTTTTGTAATTAATGTAATTTTTTTGTGAAATTCATCAAGCGAGCAAGTGGTTCACCTGATGTTAAGTGAATACCGCCAACAATGGACATCAACAACACTCGATGACTTGCAGATGCGTTGCCACCTTTGAATAAAGTGGGCCCCGGCTACCTCACTCACTAGACAAAACGCAGAAGTGTAACACTTCAACTTTACGCCGATCTTCTATGCGGTCGTGGTACTTAACCGGAAAGACCTGCCCATTCGTGCAACAGTGAACACTGTTGCGTGGCCCTACCACTAAAGTTGCCACCTAGTCTTGGCTCAGGGACCTAGTGGTCCTACACTGAGCCAATCTGTGGTATTAATCCCGAAAGGGCAGCTCCAAGTACATTCATTAAGGCTACACTGGATGCGTGCAATAAGTGTTTCGGGGATAGGTTGAGGGTGGTAGAGGCGGAACCATCCCCCTGTCCTCTGCAACCAACAAAGAGAATGGTATTGAGCATGGCCATTCTCCCTATCCCCCGCAACTAAGCAACGCTGCATCACTATCGGGGGCCGGGAGGCTTACTATTTCTTTGCGCGAGTTATCCTAGCTCGCGTAGCCTTTGGACAGTCCTTACACTACAAGACTTACGGGAATCCACTTCGAAGCCTATTCCTATCCCTAGGGGTAAATGAAGAAAGAAGAACTTCTTATTCCAGCGGCACCTATTACCTGGATAAGAACCCACCTCTTTTTTAGCTAAGTTAGCAGTTTATTATTAAATATGTGTGTTTCTTTTAAGTTGTAGAGTATCTTTTACTTTTTCTCTATACAAGAATTTACGTTACGGTTCGTACTTTTTGTCTTTATGATGATAGATTTTTCAGTCCGTAGGCTAAGTTATGAAACTTCATCGGACACTAAACTCGTGGATAAACTTTTACCACTTCTTTTTACTGTTGTGTAGGCTCATGTGTTGCGTAAATAAAAGTAAGTAAAACTGGAAGTAATGAGCTTTCTTCATTAATAAAATCCAGTAGAATGTCACGAGATCAACATGTGCTTTCATTCTACGAGAAGTTACATGTTAAATTTATTTTAAAATGATGTTATATTTATACTATATATAATCATTGCCACTTAAATCTTTCGAGTAATTATATATTTAAATATTTTTTATTCACCTTTAAATGCTTTTTCCCAAAAAAAAACCCGAGACTGAGCACGCGCTGCGGATACCATTTTCGAATGCCGCACGTGTCGGCGCGTGGCACGAAATAGTCGCTTTATAGGTCCTATGGAGTGGAAAAAATATTTGTAATTTCAAAAATATATGTAATGTTTACTTTACCCCGTACTCATATCGAAAAATATTTATTGTCTAGCAGCTATTCGATTAGATCTCGAACCTTGGTCCCATACTTGTAAATTTATGATGATCCGTACAACGTAGCCCAAAAGTGTAGCACAGTGCTACAATTGCTCTTTAATTTTATTACAATCTCCAGCATGACATTTATTAAAATTTCATATATAACTGACGGTGTATGTGAGCCAAATAAACATTTTGTTCCAATTTTTACCGATAAAATGAAATAATAATGACCTGTGATTGCTAAGTGTTCGGACGCTCGCTTTTAATTAAATATACCTACTCAAACAACCTGAACATGAACGATGAAACTGTTGTCAAGTGGTGCCTCATCAAGTGGTAAATGATGAAGACGAACCTCAAAATGAACCATAAATATTTTCGAAATATTAATAAACATTATTTTGAACATACGTGAAGTCTACCAAAGAGCAAAAGGGATCGTGGACAGGGGAGGTGGAAAGAATGGTGGACTATGCCCTGATATCCTCTGTATCCGGTCCTTTCTTCAGCAGTGAGACATATATAGGCTGTCACTTTACTTACTTACTTTACTTTAAAAACGAAACAACTATCCAATGCGCCAGTGCACAAAACCGTAATAAACACAAAATTGTTTAAGAAACAACCGCAATACAAAACTCTAAATTATAAATAAAGTATCGCCACAGTTCCTCAACACAAGGAAGCTACGTAATCCGGGCACTTGAAATTCAGCAAGCAGTGGACGAGGAGAGGGCGGGGGACACGGTACGGGGGTGGAGGGCGATGCGGTGTCAGGGGAGGCGTGAGGGCGCGACGTGATTACCGGCGTCCAACCAAGACGACCCGGTTCACCCGGCTATCCCATGTACCACCGGATGTAACGTAACACGGGCACGTACATAATAAAATTTACTTTGTCAAATGCCGCCGATGTGCGAATATCGTAAGAATACTATAAAATTACGAAACAAAAATCACACACAATGGAAACGTTTCGTTCACGTAGCATGGTATCATTTATGACTTATTATAGGTGAATATAAGTACAAGTTTCGAAATTTATGATGGATGTATTTTGTATCGGTTACATAATTAGTTGAGTAAACACATAATTAATGGTAAATGTAAAGGACATGCAATTAAAATAAATTTTAAACGATAGAGAAAAATCACTAATGAATTAATCAAAAAGCAGAATTCTCCGGTCGCTTATAGTGTATGTAATTAAACCCAGTTTAAATTAAATAAAATATAATTATATATATTATATTATACCTTCGTATCCATAACATTTAAAAATAATAAATATGTCAATGTGCTTTGTATAAAAAATCGGATAAACAACGCACAATGTCAAGAGAATCCCCATTTAGAAAAGAGATCACTGCTTAATTTCCTTCACACCAAAGCTAGTAATCCTTTTATGGGCCATGGCATTAAAACCAACAACGTGCAAAGACGCCATTGCTCGATGGGAAAAGGCAAAGGGCGAAACCGCTGCCGAGGCAAAAGTAATAGAACTACAATTTCAGTGGCCACCGATCGAAAAAATGGATGGAGCCCTATCAACACTTGTAAACTGCGAGTAAGTACAATGACAAAAATGATAACGAAAAATGTTTACATGCAGCAAAAGAGTATATTGATGCATAGAGATGGCCATAAAGCTAAATTTAAGGAACAAAAAAGTTTGTGATAAAAAAAGTAAAGTAACAGCCTATAGATGTCCCACTTGTTGGGCAGAAGCCTCCTATCTACAGAAGGTATAAGGGCACAGTCCACCACGCGGCCCCAATGCGGATTGGTGGACTTCACATATCTTTGAAATAATTTTTTTGTTATTATTTCGAAAATATCCAGGTTTCTTCACTATGTTTTCCTTCACCGCTGAGCACGTGATAAGTCAGCACTTCAAATTAACAATTTCATTGGTGCCGCCACCGGGGATCGAACTCAGGTTGCTCGATTATATTAAATTAAAGCCAGGACACTGAGCTATCACGGCTAATATGTGATAACGTTGTATTAATATTATTTTTATATATCTTTGCAAATGATGACTTCAACGAAGTTAGTTGCTAAGCTATTAGCTTCGGCACTGGTGGTCGTGGGTTCATTCCATGTTATTCCGAATCTGGTTGTTTGTTCCGAGGAGACTTGAATTTAGGGAGGCGTATAAAAACCAAGCGAATCCCACTAACAACATGCTTTCATGTGCCGATCACACCTAGGCGAGATAAGGGGCCGAAGATGATAATCATAATACAAATGTGAGAAAACCTGTCATTGCCTACTGCTCTTCCAAAACTGTTCAGAGACGAGAAAATGCTTAACACATTAAAAGTAAAGCGCTGTAAAATTAAAAAAAAGTAATACTTATAAACTTTATTTTAGGAAGCTTAGTTTATCGTCTAACATGATCGACAAAATAGCTGGTATCGCTGGAATGAGAAATCTTAAAATTTTGTCTGTAGGGAGGAACTATATAAAAAATTTAGCAGGAATCGTAAGTTTAGATAGTGTAAAAAAATATTAATGTAAATGTCTTATAAGTATTATTAAAATAAAATTAAGAAATATTTGTGTAACAGGAAACGGTCGCGGATACATTAGAAGAATTGTGGATAAGTTACAACCCCATCGATAAATTAAAAGGTATAGGAGCGTTAAAAAACTTACGCGTGTTGTATATTTCGAACAACAACATTAAGGAGTGGGTGGAATTCAATAGATTGCAGGTGCTTTTCTCAATATCATTTTGTTACATTTTAAGCTGCGATAATTTTTATCTTCATAATTATTATAACTTTATTTTTAGTGATAGAAATAAATAACAATTTATTTATTTCGTATATCCCACAGGAATGTCCAGAACTCAGGGATCTTGTATTTACCGGAAATCCCTTATGTGACAATCAACCAGATGTTGAAACTTGGCGCACTCAAGCATCTAACCGCCTTCAACAAATAACAAAGTTAGATGGAATACCTATAGTTAGGGATACTGATTAAAACAGATGGAAATGAGATATTACTTTATAACAATATTGATTCCCATGAAATAAAAGAGCAGTAGAAATAGTTATTTGACGGAATTTTACTTTAACTGTTTCCTTTCGCAAATAGGTAGCTTGTTTGTATTTATTACTAACGACAGTGAATTATTATTAACGAATTGCCACTGCGAGCAATAGGTAGCAATAGGTTTTCTTTATATTGTAATAAATACAAACAATTTTCTGTGACATTTCGAAGAATTTAGATTACAGTCATTATTGATATTCCCAACTCGTAATAAGTCAATTATTTTACATTGTGGTGGAAACATTAACGGTCACTGGCCTGTTGAATGAATTATTCCAAATTAGGAAGTCGTGATTGCGTGACACTTTCTATAACAATGCTTGATAGAAGACCACTTGTCCAGGATAAATTGAAACGATAATAATACTCGGAATAATAACCTCGCATCGGATCGCCTCATTCGTTTGACATTTATAACAGATTAACTATAGAAACACTTAATAAGTAACCCACACGCTATCTATCTATTACTCCTAAATGATGCAAGTTATTTTGACATTATTTATGGTGCTTTGGATTCATTAATCGTATGACTATTTCAAGTAGATATTATAATGTAAAATCTTTATATATTAAAGTAATTGTAAATTATAATATATTTTATAATATTAAATATTAATCTGAAATTTGAAGCCTTAGGCGCATAAGATTTTCTTTGTAAAACTTTTAGTCCCAGTTCAACAAATCAAATGTCTACAGAAATAAATATGAAAAATAGTCAATCCTGTCGAGGCAAGGTAATGAACCAAAAATAATAAGATCATACAAAATATTGATAGTTAAAAAAGATATCAATATACACAATTGTAATATTTCACATTCAAGAATGATTAGCATAAATTGTAATTCATCATACGTCTCAATGATTAATTTGTGCCAAAAGGAAATATTAATTGGTTGGGGAGGCTATTGACGGCGGAAAGTCCCTCTCTCTTTAGACGCGATGGCTCTCACCATTGTATTGTTAAAATTTAATGATGTAAACGGATAGCGCGAATTTATCTGATTATGGAACGATCAGGGATACGAGTGTTGAGGGGAACCAATCAACAAATATATCTTTTTAATATTACATTATTTGTGACACACAATATTACTGATGTTATAACATTGAATTTTCTTACATTGCTTGTACACATGTACACACATTTTTATAGATACTTTTTAGATAACAAGTATTAGCTGGCAAGTATATTATAATAGCCATAAATATTATAAGTCCAATGATAGCTCTGTGTCAGAGCGCTCGCTTTTAATTGAATATACTGGAGCAACCCGAGTTCAAATCCTGGTGCTGGCACCGATGAAAATGTTAATTTTTAGTACTGACTTAACACGTGCTCAGTGGTGAAGGAAAACATCGTGATGAAACCTGCATACTTTCGAAATAATACCAAAAAAGGTTGGCGTGGTGGACAATGTCCTAATATCCTCCGTACAGAGGAGGCCTTTGCCCAGGAGTGGGACATATGTATATAGGCTTATTACTTTACTTTTTACAATGAAGAAATGTTGAATTGATAAGTATGTGATGAGCAATAATTGTATCAAATTCTTGCTTGTAATAGTATATTGACCTGTGCAAGTGATGCATCGCCAATATTTTCCAACGTACGGGAAACCAGACGCGGATAAACTTGTTCGAAAACTCAATGAAAGATGGACAAAGGAATACAGTGTTGTAAACGTTATTAATTTATCATCAATAGTCCGCTAAATCGCATGTCGATTAGTATACTATTCATTGTAATGATCGGCAACAAAGATGTAATTTCCCTTATATGTTCATTGTATATTACCTATTTTATATATACAAAGTTCTATTTAGGCTAACACTTACACATCAGAAACAATTATCTGTAAATAACTTAAATCCACATAAGACTACAACCGTACTTCGAGTATTTAATTCCAATCGTGCTATCCGGTATGGAAAAACAAACTGGTTCGCATCGTGCGATGTTGAACTTTCATAATTTGCTTATCAAATTAATCTATCAGTTACTAACAACGTAACTCATACACTGACAAAAACCTTAGCAACTATCATGACATTAAGCAGCATGTGGTACTTCGATGGTGTTCAATATTTAATAGAAAATGGGCCTTTATTCACTATCCGTAATGGACTGATAATTGTCCATCCAAACAGAAGTAACTCTGTTAATGACAATACCGCTCGCGCCTTCCCCACGACTATTTACATAGAGTGGAAGCCATGCCAACCATTATTCAATTATTAACAGCACAATCGACCTAATTTTGATTTCTATTTTACATTCCTATCACATGCCACGTTGCCGGCGGCGCGTGTCCATTTTGTGACATCTGTCCTCGAATGTGTTACCAACTATAAAATTCAATTTCCCCAATCGGCCAGCTCGACACATTTATTATTCATAGATGTGCACATACACGCCCGACAACTCGCAGATGTGATCTTTTACGTGAAAGGGTACACAAAGATGATATGGATATAAATCATTGATTGTTAAGATGCGTACAATACTTAATTTTAAAATTAATGTGGTTGGTAGTTCTACGAATTATTTCCCGCGTTTTGTAATAAATGATGGGATAGCATTATAATTGTAGTTACTGGGTTATTATCTAAATATTTAAGTGTCAACATTTACTTTAAAAAAAACTTGAAAGTAGTTTTCGTTTAAAATCTATTTTACTGTTCTTAAATGAATTGGTCTTATATAAAAAAATGATTTTATATTGCATTTATATTGATCCTAAATAATGAAAAAATATATGGAAGTACATGTTGTATTTTCATATATTTTGAAAACTGCACATAAAAAATCTTACGCGTTTTCAAGGAGAAGGACACGGGACAGTGAATTATTTGCAGAAAAATGTCCTACAAACGGAAGTTTCTACACAGAGCTTGTCACTAGGATTAGAACCTGCGCCTTCTCGGTTTCACGAATTCCTTTGCAATTATTCTTCCTGTCTTTACGATTACATTTAACAGTTTGTTTTATTGAACTTTGACGACCCCATTGGCGTAGTGGATAGTGGCGTAGTCTCTTGCGCCAGGATGTGCATACAATATCCACTACTAGAAAAATTTAGAGTGATTAATGGTGTATTTTTATAGTTTTTGGGTGTTTATACATTTATAACGTATATTTATTTACAAAAGAAAAGCATGTTTAAGTGGGTTTATGACTTAGCAAACACCCATAGTACAACCTTTGCTTAGATTGAGATTAGAATCATCTGTATAAAATTTTTCTGAAATTATTCATTTACATTTATTTACTTATATTTAAATTTAAATTCTCGCTTTAACTCTCGCTTCTCCAGGCTCAAATTAAGTATTATTATCAAAATATGATCATACACACAAGTCGAAAAAAGATAAATATTAAATAAATTAAGGAAAATTTAAAGATACTTCTACGTAATTACATAACTGAAACCGCATACTTGCAAGAGATATCAGTATGTATACTCATAATCCCAAAAACCTATGATGTTCCATGAAAATCGTATCACGAACGGCTGTTCAATGAAAACTGTATCACAACGACAAAGATGGCTATCGTCCATCGCGGGGGCTTAAAAGTGTGATCGATTTCAGCCGTTGCCTTCGGCGGGCCAATAAATCAATCCGTGTCGTCGGTAATGCACAATCCATTTGCCCGCTTGTAGCCTAATTGCTGTTAGCGCCGCCCAATGGCCACATTAGCCTGAAACGCTCCCCATACGAGCGCCCCCTCCCCTCAGTGCCCTCCCCCTCTGTCCGCTCCTAAGACCGCTCGTATCAGCTCCACGGCTGTAATAGCTGATTTTCTAGCTCACGAGGCTGGCCGCAAACGACCGCGCTTACGCCACTCAAAGGCGGAGAAAATGGTTTAAGTGCTTTCTCTATTATGCTTAAGGTCGTTCGTAAAGGGGATAATTTTCAACTCCACAATGCCCCCGCCCCGGCAGCGTGACAGTAACATGTGGACATTCTGTAGCATTTAATATTTGTACAAGAAATTTAGGTTGTTTTTCTTTTTTACATTTTTCAGTTCAAGCTAAACTGAAAAATATATAGCGTTTTAATAATATAACACATAAAAATATCATTTACCATTTACTACCATAATAGTTCAAAGGATGATGAAAAACATATTACCTTCGCTGAGACATTATTCCAGTTACTATATATTATATAAAGCACGAAAGCTTTGACCGTCTACGGCGTAGCAATACGTATGATAAAGGAATCGCTAATGAAAATTTAAAATTATTAAGTTATCTAATTAACACCGATTTTCATAAGTTCACTTACTAGAGATAACAATACATTTGCTTTTTATATAATATTCCGATCGATTTTTGGCAACGAAAGTTCTTATTGCATATTTTTTATTTATTATTACTTATAAAATAAAGTATTTAGTTATGTAAATACTACGAATGTTCACACTTTACTTACGTCAAGTGAGATAATATATTTTTAAGTTGGGTAACCTATTGTTGCTGCAAGCGGTGAGGGTCGCGAAATAAAGCTTTTCCAACAAACAATAGTTCCGGCCCTTTGTCGCTCTCGGAGTAAGTAAATATTAGTAGTTGAGAGCATTGTGAGGTCGTTTCGGCCGCCGACGGGTCGCGGCTTGAAAGAATGTTACTAGATAAGCTCCAGTACCTTTATTTACCCTCATTACCTTTTGTTTGTTTGATATATTGGCATCCTTAACACTGAGTTACTTTTTACGTTATATTCTTTTGCTTATTAACGACCGTTACGAGGTTTTCGTTCTTGAATTCGGATAACATAATGCACATTCATATAAACATTTTAATCCTCCAACATGTTAATTTCTATTCATTAAGATAAACAAACACGGAAGGAAGAGGGCTATAATTCAGTTCAATAAGATTAAATAAAAGATGGAAGTATTATTGAAAACTGCATAAGTAAAATATGCTAAAACTGTAAGTTTGCCAACGTCGAACAAGTCACGATAACACAATAAATTACTATACCGACATTAGCACCTACTTTCCATAATAGCCGATAAACCAAATTTAGTTTTCATGTTACGCACCCTCAGTAGCTACTTATGTAATAAGCAATGATCAATGGTGAATAATCCTATTGTATCGCAGGCAGACAAAAAACCACCGTGTCTAAGTTATTCCGTTATGCTCCCGCGTTAATATCTCCATTACATTAGCGAACTACTCATTGTTGTCGCGTCCGCGTCTAGATGTATGCAGCTAAAGGATTAGGCATCATGTTGACAGTTCTCTACGCCACAGAGCGATGCGTTCATAGCGAACATTATTGTGTGTTTATTTAATTTAACTCACTGGCAACACAATAACGTCGCGTTTCCTCTAGCGGGCTCAAGTCGGAGCGCCTCGGGGCAATAAAATTAATGAAGCGTGGAGATGGGACCATTTTACTTGTATTATTCGTCTCCTGCGGGCTGAGACTGAAGCGAATGTCCATTAGTTCTGTTTTAACATGTTAGCGAGGTTGAAACGTTGTAAATGCGATTTACTTTACGGAGAGGGTGGAAAAGTAGTCGGAGAGATTGGGTCGCTCCGATCGATAGCCGATCGGATACGGTAAAACTTTAAACGAGATGCATTGATACATTATTTATACAATGTTCTCGAATCCCTTAATAGTGTATCTAAGCACTCAACGATGCCTTCCACATTTTTATGGCGTAAACAATCTTATGAATGTATTCATTCGCGTAAATTTCAACACAGGCCTTTATAAAGTTAACAACAACAACGTTTCCTTTGCTTGCTTTATTTTCAATACATAATAAACACTTCGTCACCCACAGCGGCTTTGAACATTTACCATTATAGATGCGTATTTGAAGCATGTGAAAGGGAACAATGGCAGCATTACGGCGCATTAGCTGTGTACTGATCATCAAACGATCGCTTCGCCGACGGCGGCAGGCGGCTGCCGTGTCAAGTTCTTCGCGATAACATCTTAATCCGCGAACACAGTACCCCTAACTACCCCCGCGTTAAATGCGCGTCGGACACTTTTATTTTACGCTTTGTGACCGATGACGGAATTAATCCGGCAGTATGCGGTGAGCTTTACATTGCACCGTTGATTTGTGATGATTCAATCCGGACCACACATAGGCGGATAAGGAACTTCATGTCGTGAACTTAAATAACGGTAAATTGCGACCTTTTGATGCCTTTCGCCGGTAAAACAAAGTCGCAGGAAAGTAAGACTTGATAATTTTAATGATAATTTCCTTATCGAAGTTGTTTAAATTCGAATTTCAACCTGAACATATTTAAAGTAAAGGTGATGTAAATGACTTTGAATTGTATTTTTACTGTTATATTTTTAATAACACCATATTGGCTATTAAATGACAAAGCAACAAAATTATGTAATGATATCTGTTAAAATTAATATTGCCATTACAATTACAGCACTTGTAAATTTCAAATTACCAATCTGTATATTATACAATGACTCCCACTTTGTTCTTATACTTCACAATGTTTTAAAAGTCTCGAGTTACTCAAAAAAGCAACAGTGATACATTAACAATTCACATTTAACATTATGTACAAATGCTCAGGCGAAACTGCAAGGGTATCGTAGGCGCTAAACCGTTGTGCGGTCATTACGCGAACATTTGCTACCATTATTAGCATATCAAGCGCTTTTATCAGATGTAACGGCTGCCGCTTCGACCTCCGCATTAATGTTATGTTCCAGTGCGAGACAATAACGCGATTAGTGGAATAAATACAGCAAAGAGACCATCGTTGAAGGGATCGGGAGGCAGCGATGCTTATCGGAGCTCATCGAGCATCGGCTTCGATTTTTACGATTAACAAATTCAAAACCGACTTTATAAAAGCTCTTCACCCTCGCTTTTTTAACGAAATGATCACTAAGTTAATAATATTTAGAGTTAATATTTAGTTTAATTATGTGGGGTTTCACAAACATTTAACAAATAGACGAATCTAATATTGATACGTCATTGTTTATATAGTAATTGCTTACATTTACACGATCTTTACACATTATTAAATAAAACTATTATTCCCGTTTTGGATTTTTACGTGAAATTACAACAGGTAGCTACAACTAGGGTAGCTTTAAAATATTTTTTGAAATAGAACGTAATATAAATTTTTCTTTATAGGATGATTATGAGGTTGTGATGGGACACCAGCTGATGTTGCGCTAGCTTTCAGTGTTAGTCTGTGAGTCACGGGATTCGCGGAAATGCTGACGTTTCCGCAAACTGCATAGTGAATCAACTCACAGTACCTATTTTATAGGTTTACTTAAATAAATCGCCTTTATAATCAAATGTGTAACTCCTAATAGCTGCTATTCCCCATCTCCCAAAACTAGACGAATTGGTTTCGCAAGCGAATGATAAAGTTTTATGAGGCTGTTATGCAGCAACAATAGGCGGATTGGAATCCAGAGGCTCGGAGCTTTAGTGCATCCGATTTCCATACAAAAACTTCTATTTCCCTAGTTAAATGGCATGTGAGAGGACATAAAATTGTAAGATAAATCTTTGGGTTGTATATGCACCCGCATTTCTTTACATTAAGTCGACGTTTAAAACATAACGATGATGCCAGAATGGTTCCTAATAATGTTACCAAGTTAAATTAATATTTTTATTACGTTTTTCTTATGTAAAAAAAAAGCTATGTGCTAAACGGCAAATCGACTTTTTACAATTGGTACGTCACACGGGCTTTGAATGTTTTTTTTAACAAATGGTACCTCACATAACAATTAATGAATACTTACAAATTTTATCAAATTATTTCCTACTACTTACTAATGCAACAACTTACTTAACTCCAAGAAAATATGATCGAAACAGCTTTAAAATTACCTACTTAGTTAGTCGTCGTGATATGAAAGTTTTATTCATTAAATTTAATTTCTAAGCTTATGAGAGTTTTCAACACCTCTGAGGCTTTCCATGAAGGTATGTCGCTTTCATGGTAGAGATGAAACTACAAATGGTACATTTCCCAGCAACCGGTACATTTCCCTTCTACGGTGGTGGAGTCATGTTACAGCAACGAACCTGCTTGCCTATGAATTCACATAATCGGTTTTAATCAATAGCTTTATATTTAAGAGAAGACGATTTACGCAAATAAAATAGGAGTAAAATTACATAAGTTCTACAACCTTCAAGCTATACGGTAAAAACATGCAGATAATCACAACAATATATGACGAGTCACAAGTTGTGTCATATCCATTTCTCCTCAAAGCGATAACACTATTAGTGGCAATAGCATCATAAAAAGTTATAGGGGAGCAATGTATCCAGCACCCGTCAAACTAGACTCAAGCCTAGCGACTTATGCCATCTCCTGAGGAAGTGATTTGTCAGCGCCGCCCCCTCTCAATTGAATAATTCAAATAATCGTGGTATTTATATGTAAATAGCGGTCCACATCTCCATACGAAAGGGCCGATCGGCACATAAATTTGGCAAGACGACGCGAAAACTGCGACGCACCAACGATCTGATTTATACGCCAACTTTTTGAGAGAGAGAGAAAAAAAGTAGCCCGCGTCAGGAAATGTTTGTCTAATCGCGTTTATTGCTATACGCCTGGTTTCGTGCCTCGTAGCACATCGGGGGCAAACTCCCAGCGCACCCCCGCATTACCTACGCCACACTAAGTTGACACAAAAACAAATTTATTCTCTACGTCAAAACGCTAGCCTGTTATTCGGTATATAAATAGTCCTTTGATAATTTTACGTTATCTTAATAATGTTACTCGCTATACAATTCCTTTATTGAAGTTCACATAAAATTGTTACAGTCATAAACTTCTACATATTTTATTTTATTCTTGCACATTGA